AAGCATGAAATTCTTCTCTGGGTGAGGGGGTTGCTAAGTGCAAACCAGACACATAGTTGGCGTGAGGCGATGTCATAGCCTCTTGCACATGAGTCTTCAACTCTGAGGCCAAGCTTGCAGCTTCCTGCTGGTTGCCACGCTCCAAGGCTAGTTGGACAAGCCGACACCCAACAGGATGTCGGGACAAGTCCCAAACATGACCTTGTAAGGCTTCGATTGCTTGGGACACGTCAATATTGTCTTGCAGCTGGTGCTGAAGCTGTTCGCAGGTATTCTTGTTGAACCATGCCATTCCTGGATTGGAAACTCGACCCGGGACCATCGGAATCTTCTCAAAAGTCCAATTCCTGGCGTCGGACTGTCTTCTGCCTTTCGGGGCATCACTGGATGAGCTCGATGCAGGCCTGTCCTCTTGATCTCCTGATGCAAACCCACTCGGAAGCTTTGACTCATTCACAAGAAGAACAGGAGCTACACCTGACAGGAGATGAGGGAGATCTGCGATAGGGAAGAGCGGGGCAGTTTGGGCTCGATCCGCCTCATTCCAGTGCATCCCGGGCATCGCCACCATGGCCATAGCTGACGTTCAGAGCTCTATTGGCTCACACTTTTCCAGCCAAAATGAAGGCTTGAACCAACAAGATCACAGGTTTATCTTCAGACATTTTGGTCGCAAATCTCATCCTTCTGAACAACTCTGTGGCCCTCTCTACCTCAGAGCTCAGAATCAATGAATCAAGCCTAGCTCTCCGACTTCACGCTCATCTCCTCAAAAAACCTGACATCCATCCGTTCGACCTCTCTTTTCACCCAAGCCACCGAATTTCAAGCCAAGCTGCTGCACGGAGACCAGCATCATCGACACAGTGCGTCGGCTGCCTGAGGATCTCACCAGGTCTCCCTGGGCTTGGCCCAACGTGCTGGTGGCAAAGAGCGCCTCGGATGGGCGCGGCGTTGAGGTGTGTGGAAGGAAGGAAGGAAGGAAGGAAGGAAGGAAGGAAGGAAGGAAAGAAGGACGGACGGACGGACGGACGGACGGAGGGAGGGAGGGAGGGAGGGAAGGACGGAGGGAGGGAGGGAAGGAAGGAAGGAAGGAAGGAAGGCAAAGGCATCGTTGATCCTCATGATGTCATACAGCCTCCAAGAAGAAGCGGCCCAAGGTGCACCCGCGGCCAAAATCCTAAAGATCTCCCTCAATCACGATGTGCCATTGGTTCTGACTATCTCCTCTCAGGCTTCTACATTGAGGATGCGTGGACAAGCACTCTTGCGTGTGCAGGAAGGCTACACTTGCCCTTCCAGTTGTTTGTTTTCATTGTGGTCATAGAGGTGGATAGAGAAGCAACAGAATTAGAAAGTACAAGGATTTTGCCTAAATCACTGCTAAACAGCAAACCGTTTTTCCAAACAGCTGGTTACCCTCCCAAACCTCCCAAACCTCGCTCCCGTCCGCTCGGACGGGGCTTCTTTCTCGTGCAGCTGCAGCTGCATAGTTGGCATAGATCGAAAGGATCTGCACCCCAGACTCCACCCGGCTTAGGCTGCAAAGCCTGGGTCAATGGCCCTGTGAGCGGAATCGATCAGAAAGACTCGTCTCTTCGCTAAAGCATCGCAGAACGTAGGGTTCAACAAAGAAATCAATGGCCTTCTTGTGCGTTAAAAGTGTGTGGGTGTGTGATATTGCGCATGCATCTGCACGTGTTAGGTGTGTGAAATGTATGTATGTGCATACTTACAGTAAGTGTATACTAAGCATACTATATTTAGAAAGAAATCTCTGTATATAAACCGCGTATATAATCATTCTATTGCATCTACATTCCAAACGTAAAATTATGTGTTTACATCCGCCCGCACGCGTTAAGCTGTTACTATTCGGCCAGGGCTCAAGCGAGGGATAAGCGTGGGCAATAAGCGTCGCAATAAACCATGGAAGTCGAAGTACAGCACTGCTGCGTCCTGGTGGGGCTTGGCTCGTCAGCATGGCTCGCCGATCGAACCGAGTGGCGGTCGGCTGGACAACCTAGAGGGGCACCCAACCGGTTCATCGATAATTATTCGAATTGAATCAACAGGAGCGTCAGAGAAACTGTACTTCCGGATCGTTTTGGATGTTTTGGGACGCCTCCACACATGAGTGGGCGGACTCTCCAGAACCACGTCCAACCTCTGTCAAACCTCCACCGGGTCCACCGGGCACCTGACTGGCCACCTCATCGCCCTCGCGCGCATCGCGCACGGGCCGCAAGGGCAGCTGCGAGGGCACCACATAGATCTTCTGCACGTCCGTGGCTGGCTGCCGACCCCTCGCACGGGCGTGGAGAGTCCAAGAGTTGTGGTTGAAACATGTTGAAACCATCCAGGAACGAGTCAAAAGGGAGCAGAATGCCTTCCAGACCAAAATGCGTCCAGCACAGCTCTGCAGATCCCCGCCTTGGTGTTTGAAGCTGGCTTTGCTTGTCCTTGCCCCAGGCCAACAGGAGGTCTAAAGCCTCAAAAGCACCACAGGGGCATTCGGCCACACAAATGCATACAAATGCTGCACCGCGAACACGCGCGAAAGAGGGAGAAGAAGACCAACCGCATGCACCGCGTTTTCCGCGCGGTGCGGGCGAACACGCGCAAGCCGCCTGAAGCAAGCTCACCAGCTGCGGGTGATGGCGGGCAAAGGGCCATTGCCGCCAAATGGCGGTCAGCAGCTGCGTGTGCAACATGCCTGTCCGGGCGCGGCGCGCGCACGGCTGAACAGTTTTGGCTGAAGGCCCCAAATGGGAACCTGTAGGTTTGGAATTGTGGCCTACTCCCACCCCACTCCCACCTGAAACCTGAAGCGTCACTGCCGTCCTGAATCCTCAACCTTCCGAACCCATCGGCCGAGGCCTCTCTCCCGAAGTTCCGCCACATGCTTCACACAGCCCTGGAAGACTTTGTCTTTGGCCGTAAGCACCTCGGACCACCAGCGAGGCTGGTAGCGCACAGGGTGGGCACCGCACCTGTGCCCCTAGCGGCCCGTGTGCTTCGGGGCCACATCCTTCGGGTGGAGGTCAGAGAAAGAAAATGCCCACCCAAAGAATCCAAACCTTTGGTGGATCAAACGATGATCAAACTAGCACTTGGCACTTGCAAAAGTCACCGAAATAATCCGGCCAAGATTTACAGCGTGTGAAAACCATATGCCTTCATGATCCTGCGTAACCTCTGATGACTGCCCTGCTGATTCTCCGGAAGAAAGCCCAGACACTGCAGCAGCTGCATCGCCCACCCAGGAGGGCTTCAAACACACGAGGTCGCCTCAAGGATCTTTGAGGGGCTCAACTTTCTGGACTGCAGAATGGACACAACTCCAAAGCCAGACAGCCAAACCCTTCCTTCCATCTGCTCCCCTGATCTGCCGTCGGAGAGGATGGAGAGAAAGGAAACCACCTCCCTCCCTCATCCCTCAGAGCGAGGCGAGCCACGGAGCTCCTCCACCTCCGGGAAGTGCAGCAAGGCACCGAGGCCGTGGAAATGACGCAGCCAATTCTGCCTCAGGTTCCACGGGGTGGGATGAAGAGGAGGCCGTTAGTAGGGCCTCCTGGGCATCGGCCTCCAGAAGTCCGAGACAACTGTGCTTTGTTGGCCACCATGTTCCGAAACCTTCGATTGTCCACCTGCTCATTCCCTCCTGATTTGTGGCTTCACGTCACCTTCCGCCAGGCGACAGCTCCTGCGTGGATTCGAAGCCGTAGCGCGCCGAACGCTTGACGAGCTCCTCGACTTTGATCAAAGGCCCCGAGTTGCCTCAGCGTGGACGGCTTCACATGGGACCTCAAATGCCCTAAGGCTGGAGCACGCACTGGCCTGTACTCTCATGACTCATGAGTGGGCACGGGTCGGTGGAGATATAGATTTGATATTTGATATATATTTTTTTTATTTATAAACATGTTTTTACTTATTTACAGTATTTACATTGGGACAGTGGATTATGTACAGAAAATAGCAAACATGCCACGGCACCTCTCCTGGTGAGACATCGAAAGCATGGACTTTCGCACATTGTAGACTACCACTCGTTTGACTGATTCGGTCGATTGCCTCGGTGACCTCCGGGAGGTTGAAGTATATAAAGCTTCGGCTGATCAACCTTCCATCTTTTTCCACATCTGCGAGAGCGGCTCCACGAAAACAAAGGCCACCAGGCCTCTTCTCAACCCGCTGTCAAGAGCAGGGAGGGACTCAGGGCGGGTGCCCTTGAGAGTCAGGTTGCGGACTCTCAGCTTTACTGGAACAAAGCTTCGGCTGATCAACCTTCCATCTTTTTCCACATCTGCGAGAGCGGCTCCACGAAAACAAAGGCCACCAGGCCTCTTCTCAACCCAACTCTTCCCAAACGATCAGCCTAGGGCTTGTCTCTTGAAAGCAGCGGGTACCAAGCCAAGCTTGGAATTTTTGCAATCTTCAACAACTCAACCTCCTTCAACAATGCAGGGAACAACCGTGCCAAGTCGAAAATACGTTGTCGTTGGTGCTGACTTAAACGAAGCAAGTATTGTATCGATCCAATCTCTTGGATATAAATCTCCATAACCTTGGAGTTTACCCACCTCCCTCTGCGTCGTACAAAATCTGGATCCTCAGTGGTTTGCAGCTGCCATGTCGCTCCGCCTGGGCGGAGCGACCCCACATCCAAGGATTTCACCCCTTGGCGGATTCCGGTTTGCAGATGCAACGCACTGAGGATATCTTTGAAACGCAACCTAAAAGTGTGAGCCGAAAAGGGCCACAACTTCTGAAAAGGTGCTTTGTCACGGAAGGCGAGCTCACATACTCTAACCAAATCACCAATATCAAGCTTCGCAGTTTGATGTCGCGCAGCAACAAAACGTGTTTTGGGCTCGGACAGCCCCAACAAGCAAAAGTCGTTCGACCTCAGTGTATCGGAGGGGAGAAGAAGATCTCGACGAACTGCACTCGTCATTTCTGATGTCCTCAACAATGCTCCCCAACCCAGCGACAGGATGCCTGCCACTTCATGCCAGCCCCATGCCAACGACACGGAGATCATGGCGAGAAGGATTTGCCACGGCATTGCAATGTGGTGAGTTGGTCTTTCTTCTCGAACCCATGCAAACGCCACGTCCCACGCAGGCTGTAGTTGCCTACGCAAAACAGGTTTGTAGGAAACAATGCTATTGATGGACTCAACAAACACCCCATATGGCCGACCAGCATCATACAACCTTCTTCCATAAAGTTGCAGCACTTCATTTATCTTCTCAAGATTCCTCGTTGGGAGATTTAGCCAGTCCTGAATTTCAAACCCAGCCCGCTGACACCAGTTAAAGAATTCCCTCAGCAGACGTTCTCGATTTCCCGTTGTTGCCGCAGTCACAGGTCGACCTTGAGGTAGTGGCGGTCTGTTCTGCCTAAGGGCTCTTCTGTGCCAGTCGCCTCGTGTCTGAGGCCCGATCATCCCATGGCTCGAAGTGAAACACGCCCCGAGGAAAAATGAGACTGCAACCAAGGAAGCGGAAGAAGGCAGAGAGAAGCAGGCAAGCCAGAGGAGAAGACGGCAAGAGGAGTAAGGACCTTCTCCAGGAAAGCCGCAAGTTGAGTCAAATTTCATGTTCGAAGACCTGAGAAGGCCATCAGGAGTGCGAGAGACGGGCCAAGACCACTGGAATCCATAGAACCTCCTGGAAGGGAGGTGAAATGAAAGTCCATGAAATCCACGAAGTCCAAAAATGAGCCTCACCCAGTTTGATGCCCACCTCCGTAGTCCAGGAACGGCCAACATAGCCTCAACATCTTTTGCTGACAGGCCATCAATCGAGTGCACTGAGAACGAACCACGAACCTCACGATCTCTGGTAGGATCATCAGACGTGTTTAAGCGAGTCGGCACATAGGGTAGGCTGAAGTATAGCCCGCCCGCCAGACAAAGGGCCCCATACTTCCTCAAGAAAGGGGTCAGGGCCTTGCTGGAAGATCTTCCCTTTGAAGCTGAACATCTGACCACGTTGGAGTCAACAAAATTGACAACTCTGCATGATCTCCCCCTTCTCACAAGCTGCTCTGCTAGTCTGATGACACTCTTGAGTTCAAGGATGTTGATGTGCCGCTTGTTCTGAAAGGTCCAGGAATCAACTTTTCTCCACTGGCAGTCGGTTGCGATGGCATTGACGAGCTGGTTCTCCAACCCCTTCACACAACCCTCCTCCTCCTTTCGGATGAAATCCTGCCTGGCTCTGATGGCAGCTGCAAAACACTCCGCAATAGCGCTCGCAAGGCTGTAGGTGTAGGAGGCAGATGCCTTCGTGTACCTTCCTTCTACAGTGATATGGGAGTGAGTTCTGTCACACCTCTTCTGCAGCTTGTCTGTTCTCATCCAGACTGAAAGGAACCGAAAACTCTTTTGATGCGGGGACCCAAAAGCACATGAGTCTGTTCGCACCGTAGCAGCTCCTTCCTTCTTTGCCAGGTTCTCCCAGGAGGGGAGGTATTGCATCATTGAGGTCCAAGGCTGTTCGGCCAAACCAGGAACAAAATAGTAGTGTGCCACCGTCAACAAATACAGTGCTCGAAGCGCAAGAATGTTCCCAGTGAGAGTCTTTCCGCACCCACCATCGAAACCCAAAGGGCAGCTTCTAGATCGTAGGGGAGGCCTTCTAATTCGAGAAAACGTGGTGCAGACTGGCTCTACCATGATGCTGCCCAGGTTCCCTGAAGAAATAAGGAAGCTCAACCATGAAACAACTCTGATAAGTGTCATGTCAAGTTCATCACAGAAAGCAATGTCAATGGGCGGGCCCACAACAAAGTTCAAAGCCTCCATAGCTTGGGAAACCCTCGAGGAGCCCGCATAAACCTCAATGAAGTCATAACGAAAAGCCAGCGGTCGATTTGGGCTTGCATGGCACATTTCACCCCCCTCCTCAACAATGTTCTGCACCCCAACATCTTCATGCATCCCGAGCCTTTCAATGAGTATCTCATAAGCCGTCTTCAGCCTGGTGTAAGCCCCTTTTGATCTGCCTGATCTCCAGAGCTTCATGGCAATGTTCTCCGGGACAACGGTCGAGGTGATAGCTCCTTTTGAGTCGGAGGCGTCTGTAGAGTAGACCTGGTCATCAAACACAGCCCCCAAATCGGCCACCATCAGGGGAGCCAAAACCGCCAACATCACCATTTCATTTGCCACTGGCCGTGGCAATTGCACCAGGCGAGGGTGTGCAGAATCGATTTTGCCGGCGTCAACCAGACTGTGCGACTCTGCTAGTATACTCATCAAAGGCCTCTGGAACAGCAGCATTGATGTCCATCCTCCCAGCAAGCAGAGGTGCAGAACATCCGTTGTGTGTGAAAGACTAGAACATTGGAGGGTGAGCCATGACAAACACAACCTCTTCGACAGCGGAGACCCCAAGGTTGCAACCCCATTCTTGGCAGCATGGTCGCCAGAATTTATTTCAGCTCCAATAACTTTACTGTGCTCCTCGCAAACAACATCTTTGTCAGGAGACCCCAATATACCATGCTTCTTGTAGATCTCTTGGCTCTTCTGGAAGCAGGAAAAGGAAAGGGCCTTCTCTGAAGCCCTTCGCCGAGGCTCACGTGAAATTGCGAAATAATCATCAATCACCAAACCCTGACATAGAGCACTCCCAGAGAAAGGTCGGCAAGAGACAATGCGCTCATCCTCCTGCAACAAACCGCCAGCTTGAAGAAGGTGCTCATGAGCTGACGTGGCTACCTCAACGCCTACATGATCTCCTTGGAAGAGAGCTCTAAAGCACACAAAAACTTCTCCGACAAGAAGAGGGGAATGGCGTGTCTCCCAAAAACCTCCTTCTCCGACGTGCAGCTGATCACCAACAATTTCACGCTTCCGCTTTTGCATCTTGGATGAGGCCCTCAGGAAATACTCATCATAGCACTTCAGACCTTTCAGATGATCAATCTCAACGGATGGGCCCACTGCGTTGCTGCGCACCTTCTCTTCTGATATCCAGAATTGGTGATAGAAATCCTTTCTGTCTGTGCAGCTTATCCTCAAAGTCTCTGAAGGGACCTTGAGGTGTAGGTCCAACAAGTCGGACCCAGCAGGAAGCCAGCGGGATGGCCCTTGAAGTCGGCCCTCCTGATAGTTTCTTCCACGCCGGTCTCCTATCTGTCTGTCACAGCTCAGATCTTTGAGATTGTTGAAAACCTTTGTAAGGCTGTACTCCGGGACATCACAGTCACTGAGGAAGCATAATCCATTCCGATCCCAGACCCTTGCCAAAGCCTCAACTTCAGTAGTCGGATCCCTCACCACAGGATATTGTCCAGGAGAAGGAAGCAGCCCGGAAAGCAGCAGGTCTGGCACTCGGTAGGCCATGCACAAATCATCATCAAGGTGGTCAGTTGCATCAAAAGATCCACTGCCTGAAATCTTTAGCCTGCTCGCATTGAGGTCCCTGTACGGTTGAAGCTGTGGAATCGTCTCATTGTTCATAGGCACAGGACACCCAGGGTACATATGGCCATAGGGTCCAGCAGCGCCCAACATAGTAAGCTGATCAGACAGCTCACCAAGCCTTGCAACTAATTGGGGAAACTTTCGGCCACTGACCAGCATCTCAAAGGACCCAGAACCAAGGCCGTCGGCCGCTATAATGCTCTTCAATCGTCTGTAGATTGCCACATGAGCACGAGAAGGGCATCTCGCCAGGAGAGAAAGATTTGGAAAAGCTTTCATGCCTCCATGCCAATAGTTGAGGGCCATGATGACAATATGAATCACCCGTTTCAAATGAACCCTTCGTCTGGCACGTAGACTCATCCCCAGCGGCATCCTGTCAAAAATGCCCACCTCAGGCAGGGGGACAGGGAAGAGCGGCGATGTCGAAGTCACATTGCTTCGATGCAGATGAAGTGTGGAAACCAAAAATGCAGCAAAAGGAGTTCTGCTCCTCAGTATCATTTTCACCAAGGAAGAGCACCACCGCCAAAAAGTCAAAACCTTTGGAACCCGTGCAGAGGAATGTAGTTTGAAGTCACCACCCTCCGTGTCAGGAACCTCATTGCCGTCTGTGATGAAGGTACTAGGCCCCCCATTGTGAATTCTATCAGGTGCAGGTGACGCGCTATCATCTCCGCACCTCATGCAGTCCTCCAAAACAGCTACTGGTTTGCCTCTGCGCCCGCCTTTGGGCGCTTCGGGTATCGGGGCTTCCTCTTTGGCGAACCCACAGGAGATCCATCTGCCCCTGGATCCTTTTGAGCAGCCGCCGCCTTCTTCCCTGAGTCCGGCTTCTTGTTGGCCAGGACTTCGATGTCTTTGATATAGCTCAGCGTAGTTGCTGTCCATGTAGGGGGAATCAACGGACTGAAAGGGCGGCTTGTCGTTGAGACTTGCATTGATCTCTCCTGAAACAGCTGAATCGGTGGGTCCTCGTGTAGGCTCACCAAATAAGCAACTGCCCAGTCTCCGTTGTCGTAGTTTGCTTGCTCCACTGACATCGCCAACAAAGCAATGATCTCCTTCACTCCAGCAAAGTCGTCTTGAGCTGCCGCATCTACAGCATGTGCCAAGATCCATTGAATCAGACCAAGTGACTTCTGCTGCTTGTAGCCCCCTGCCTTCTCCAGATATTCGACCATCGACAGGTGCCCCAACTCGGCCTCTGACTTGGGAAGAGCCCTTCCGGGAGAGATCCTCTTGTGGATCTGTTGCATCATAAGCAGGAAAAAGTTTCCGCTCCTCGAGGCCAGCTCGGCCTGAAGCTTCTCCCTTCGCTGGACTCCCCTCATACTTGATGAGCTGCTGAAGCCTGATTGGAGCTCTGTAAGAGGGTCCCCCCCTTGCTGTGCTAGATGTGCAACCAAAGCTGTAAGCGCAGTGCTCTGTTGAGACAATGCATTGACTATGTTGCCTGAATCTTGGCCAGCACGAAATCCATCTCCCCCCAAGAGAGCATTTGGTTCCTCTGGAGGAATGCCAGCCACCTTTGCCATGGAAGGCTGACCCAACTTCGTTCGTGGAGGTGGTCCCAAAAGCTGCAGAGTCTTTGCCATAGCAGGCTGAGGGCCGTCCACGGAACCAAGGCCTGCGGACAGATCCGGAAGCTTGTTTCTGTTGCCAGAGGAGGACCCGGAGACATTTTCGGCAGGCTGCCCCTGTACAGGTTGAGACTGCTCCAGGGCATCCTGCCTTGCCGACAGAAGCTGTAGTTGATTGTTCAACATTGCGAGTTGCTCCATCAAAACTGCATTTGTAACCCTCTTCGGGGCCACTCCTGCTTTCTTTGCTGCAACTGACTTTCCTTTGGCTGCAGGAACTTCTGGGTCTTCTTGAGCCGAGTAAAAACCAGCCAAAGGATCGGTTCTCTCGATGAGCCAAGCCCTGACACTCTCAATCAGGGCGTGAATTTGAGGAATGCAAGAAGTGTTATCTGGATGGTAAGGCACGATCTCACTGTCCGCATCTGTGACAGGGTCGAACAGCCTTGCAAAATTCAAAAAATCATCATTGACATCCACAACGACCACTGGACCATTCATCCCGAGGGGGACCGGTGTGCCATCGTCAGACTCTTCCACCAAAGGAACGTCAAAATGCGTTCCCACTCCCAGCCAGGTAGGTGCCATCTCTAAGGAAGCCCCATCCGTCAGCCAAGACTCATCTAATACCCCATAGGGAATACATGCAAGAAAACCACCACCCCGAGGTAGGAGAGGTAGCACAAAAAGCTCTGTCACCACTTCAACCACTGGAGGCGAGAGGGTAGCCACCAAAAGTGAGAAGTCCTCTCGCAGCCCAGCAAACTTCACTTCGGACCGCTGCATTGGTACAGCGGAGGAACGTCAGTCCCGAAGCTGGCACAACACACTTGAACCTCAGTGAGTGAAGCAAAACCTTGCCACACCGCAGGCTCAGAGTTTGGCACCTGAGAAGCAAGGAGGCTACGGAGCTCTGTGATCTTTCGGACTCGGACTGCCCCAGAAATGCGGGAGTGGTAGAAGATGATCCACTGGGTATCGGACACTGAGATTGCTTCTCGTTGCAAGTACTCAGAATGGGTAGCGATCGCTGCCCAACACCAGAATCCAGCCTTCCACGCCCTCACAATTCTCTCCTTGGGGTCACCGGCCACGTTGGAGAGCTTCTGAGCTGCACTTGTTAGAAGGGCAGGCGGAATAGGCTGAGGTCCGTCTTCAAACACCCTCCTGGAATCAAGCTCTACCGCAAAGGGCTGCTCAAATGAAGGCTCAACTATCTCCCAGCCAGCAATCGAGATGCAAGGAGCCGACGAAGACGTAGATGAAGATGAAGTCAAAGATGCACCCCTCTCGATTGCCACGCTCAGACGGGTCAACGCTGAAATGAGAGAATCAATGTCAGCTTTTGTCACCTGCTGGCTCATTCACCGTCTCTGTAGGCCGCAAGCCTAGCCCTCCTGTCAACAAGAAGATGCCGAGGGCGATCCACCTCCGACACTCCAGATTCCACCACAGGCGGGAAAAACCCACGACGAAGCACTGGATGGAGGTAGGAAAGCGCAAGAAATCCAAGGAGGAGAGCCAAAACAAATCCAAGGGAAATGCCGGTCAGCAGCCAAGGAAGACAGGAGCCTGAACAGTGGATGGGACAAGCGACCTTTGAAGAGAGGTCTGAAAAGGCGGTTGCAGTCTCGAGCGCCCACCTAACACCTGCTATCATGCCCTTGAGAGTCAGGTTGCGGACTCTCAGCTTTACTGGAACAAGTTGATATCTCATCATATCGGGCATCTTTGACGAATTGCTCCTTTTTTCGAGCGAGACTTCACAGATCTTTGGTTCATATATCATCCTTTCCTCTGAGTTCTGTGGCACTTGTGCCTAAGCATCTACATCCAGGATGGGTGCCTGCTATCCATCACAAAGCATGTCCCGCCACCCTGCAAGAATCCAGGTCTATTCTTGTTTTGCCGGGTGTTGGCAGAAACCACCAGTTGCTGCATCAACAAGAGCAATCCAGGGAACAACTGCCCCCAAAATCAATCTTGGAGTGGAAGGAAGGTGATAGCCTCGTGGACGTCCAAAAGTTCTTCAATGCGTGTGGAACTGGAGATGATTACCACCTTCTAGGCAACCAGAAAGCAAAGCCTCCAGGTTGACCGCACTCCAACGTTCGTCGTAGCTGCCACCATTGCGCTGCAGAACTGCCCAGAAGTGGCTCCAGCGCAAGGGGATGGCTCGACCCAAGGCACCTGACTCGACTCCAACCCGGATGGGTTGGTGGTCACTTCTTACATGAGGAATTTGTGGGGTCCAATGGAGCCACCCTCCTGAAGCTCTAGCTCCAACGAATGCCCTATATACATTTCAGCATCTGGCCTAGACCTAGACCTAGACATCAGCATTGCTTCAGCCTGGCGCCTAGTTACACCTTCGGCCTTCTTTCAGCCTCTCCACCGTGCTTTGTTTCCCCATACGCCTTGGAGGAGCTTGGAGACCATTTCCTCCACGGCTTTCTGCAAGAGCCCCCCTGACCGTCCACCATCCATCCCAGAGTTGTCCATGGGGAAGAAACACAGCTGACCCTGCTCGTTGATGTGAAGCTGCCTGCAGCGGGGGACGGCTTGGCGCACGTCCGCCGCGATGACGCAGCTCGGCCACCGGCCGGGCTTGCCCGGTCATTTGAAGTGCGAGGCCCCCACACGGAGGTGATAGTATGGCATCTGAGCGTGGTTTCGGGATGGATCTGGTCGCGTCTTCACTTAAGCTAAGCCAGGGTCTCGTGACCCTGGCTGGCAGCCAGCAAGATTTCATGGACTGAATGGTACCCCCTTCACCACCAGGGAAACAATCTTCTTATAGTGAGTGGGCTTTAAGCAGTGCTCGTGCTCGAGTGCCAAAGTAAATAGCCCCACCTCACTTGTTGTGCTGTCCCTCCTTAGGCAGCACCCCCAACCATCCACCCATCCAGGGAACTCGTTCAGCTCCGGCAGCTTCTTGCAGAAGGCGGTAATGCGTTCGTGCACCTCTGCGTGCACCCTGGGCCGGGAGGTGGACGGTAGGCCTGGGCCGCGTGCAGCGCACGTGTCGCACCGGTGCAGCGCACGTGTCCATGTCTCAGCCGCCTGAAAGAGAGGTCCGCCACAGCACAGATGCGTCAAATCTACTGCAGACATGAAAGAATGACCAGCAACACGACATGTTCAACAAATCCGCAACCAACTCTGAGTTCTTTCCTCGGGTTAGGAGCAGATGGCACAACTCCCACAATAACAGCTTCGTGAGAAAAATGCAACACCCCACTTCTCTGATTCCACACGCATCACCACACACTCTGATTCGACCCTCGTGCTCATGGGATCTAATGATCTAATCTAATGTAGACTCTTCCCTAATGTAGACTCTGGATTTTTAAAAAAACATATGAAGAGGTTGTTCAATTCAAATAGGATGTTTGTCGTGCACTTGGCTTCTTTCGTATCCTCGTAGTGTCGTAGTGGTCGTAGGGTCGGATGGTGGGAGCGAGCCCGCAAGTCCGCGCATTCAAATGGGGTGGGTTTATGGTCCTCAAGAGTCTACATGATTTGGATTGTAAAACTCTTGATACCCCCGGGGGGTTATTGATCAAGAGCCGACATGGCTTCCTCGGCGCTCCGAGCCACAGTCATCGTGAGTTCCCACAATGGCCACTGGGGAGTTGGGCGCGTGCACCGCAATGGAGGCCAACCACCATTCCAGGGCATCCCAGGTCTGGGTGGATCTCTCTGTCTCCTCGCATGGCAGCGCGATGGCGGATGATGCGGATCAGAAAACTATCAGATCTATATAGCTGATTCTAGTTGATACTTGAGGCCCGGGGTTGGTGACGCAAAGCTTGCATGACTACCTCCAGCTAGCTGACGCTAGCTTTCGTGATGCATGCAGCCAGTCCGTGGTGTGAATCAACTTCAAGAAGCGATCCACCAGAGGTACTGGGTCCTTCTCATCCTTCTCCAAGTCGGAGCTCAAGCTGTCGGAGCTCTCAGGGGCGCTCAAGCTCGAGAGGTCGATGCAAGCCAAGTAGATGCCATAGTCCTCAGCCGTCTCCGAAGCACAGCCCCCACACCCCACCCCCCTGGGCCGTGGGCCCCCACGGCCACGTGATTGACTGTCCGAGTAGCAGGTTGGATGATCACATCCTGCCCCTTCAGACCAAGGGCTCGCGTCACCCGGGATTGAGCATGATCAACATCGACCCGCGGGGCAACATGACCATTGGTTTACCAGTTCACATACTCGTATGTTGTATCCTAAATGCTGTCAGTGTGTGTGCGCGCACCTTGCTTAGGTGTACCACCTGCCGTGTTGTGCGTTGCCAAGCATCGCTCAGAAAGAGATGATGCATGGCGTAGTACACGTCTTGCCCGCCGAAGTCGTAGGCCTTCAGCTCAACCATCACTCAAACAAGCGGGAAAGCTCCGTCAGTCTGCTCAAGCTCATCAAGTTCTTGGCAGCCATTCTGCTAGCCCCCGTCAAGGGAGGAAGTCTCATCACCAGCTGTGCATCAACACCTAAACAACCACTACACGCCATCGAAAAAACTGACACTGGCCTCCAGCACCACAGTCTTCTCATCCTGCCCTGGGTTCCCGTGGACGGTCTCACCCAATCGCCTGCACAGCGACTGGTGACCGGCGTGACCCGGACGAGCGGCCGTCGGATCCTGCCTGGCGATGAGGTCCACCGGCATGCGCTTCATGACGCTGGGATCCAGCTCTGTACCTCGGCTCTGAGGCCGAAAAGACCCCACCGCTTCGAACGTCTTGAGCGATAGAATCGGCTCAATGGAATGGGAGAAAAAGGCGAGTGTGTATGTGTGTATAGGGTATATAGGGTGCGGTATGTATATATACAGTGTGTATATATATATATATACCGCCAAACTCAAGGAACACTCAATGCTGCAAAAAGTTGGAAAAAAACCATGTGTGATCTACAAGTCATTGTGCTAACAAATGAGTGGAATGACATGGAATTGCATCATATCATGTCATATCATATACCATGCCCATCAAACCACCCTAGGTTCCTGAACAGCCCACCCTCCCCACGCCCCGTGGCCAGGCCACAGGGTCGTTGCGGCGTGGCCGCGGGGCGCACCACATCGGTGCCCGCGGAGGGGGGGCGCACCAGGTCGGCCACGTACCTCGGAGGGGGGTGGAAAACGAATGGAGACAGAACTACAGCATGCAATAGCATGCAATAGCATGCAATATCGTCCTTCTCGGTCTAAGAGTGCCCAGCAAAACCACTGTGAGCTCACAGCACTTTGGCTGAATCTCCCAGATCCGCCCTCTGTGCTGATCCTAGGCGTTCCTTCCTTCCCACGTGCCGGCACAGGGGTTGAGCGCACTTGGCGACGGCGCGATCCCAGCGCGTGGTGCTGGCCACGGCCGACTGGTCCTGGAGCTGCCACCGGTGCCCTGGAGCTGCGGAGAGGAGCTCCTGAGGACGAAGAAAGCGGACGAAGGCACCGCCAGGACCACCAGGTGGAAGAATGATCCGTTGACATTTAGGTGGGAAGATCGGTTTTTTCCAAGGAGGAATTGTTTTTCTACCTACACTTGAATGACTGTTTGTGACCTTGCTAGTGAACGTTAAGGAGTGGGCATGTGTACTGAGCGACCTGGCCAAGCGTCAGTGGTAGATATCCCCTCAGAGCTCTGTGGAGCATCATCTCATTTTCTAGTTAAACAGGTGAGAAGGGTCAGGGGCACAACTCGCAGGGCAAAGGCCACATCCAATCCAATGAGAGCTCTGCCATCTTGTGAGACAAGAAGGGAGGGGCCCCCAGTCCAAGGAGTTAAAGCCTGCTAGTTGGTGGGTCCCACCTTCTTATCGGTTTTTGTATGCTGAGAATTGAAGTGAGGGCAGCACCTTTCTTCACCCTTCACTTGTGGGGCCTTGCTTTCACACACTGGCATCGAGCAACACCTTCCTCGCCCCAACGCAGGCAAGCGCTCGGAAACATGAAACCTACAAAATCCACCAAGACCAAGTTCCAAATTCCTCTGGTTTGGAAAGGGTGCTTTGCGGATTCCGCCTGTTCTACACACTCGGGCATCAAGCCTGCGAAAGGGCCCAGCATGCAAGGCCAGGAGTGCTCTCCTCGTCTGCCCTGCGGCGGAGGGCGTGGTCAGACGTCAAGAACGCAGTCGCTTTAGAGAGGTTGAAGGGAGGCCAACGAGAACACTGGACCATGGCCACCCACCCAACAATAAAGCAATCAGGGACAATATGGCGCAGAATGCCGAAGAGATCACATCCTCAAAGGACAAGGTCCGAAGAAATTGGACCTTGCTCGGTTGCTTTCACCTCCCAATCACGGAAAAAAAACAGGGACCAAAGACTTGACTCAACCCTTCGGGGAAAACAAAAGAGACGTCTCCGATCGTCTCTCATCTTCCCTTGACTTCACCGCCTCAGCGGCAAGCCGGACAGCGCCCGCAGCGTGGAGGTCTTCCCCGCGCGCGCCGGGCCCACGAAGCCCAGCTTGGCACAGCGAAGCTGGTGTGTGCCTGGAGCTGGGCAGGTCGGTTCAGGGGGAGTTCCACGAAACCAAGCCAGAAGGAAACGGCCACCCTCTGACTCAGGTTCGCATGGTTTGGACTTTCGTCGTTTACGAGGAAGGGGGGGGTCGTCCGCTTTCAAGTTCGCACGTCAGACGCATGCTTGCAAAGGTTCGGATAGCTGTGGGCTCCAGCACAGTGAAGGAATGCTTAAGAACCCCGAAGTGCGATCAAACATGAAGACCACCCCCATCAGTGGAGGTATCGAGATATGCCAAGCGGGCTTAAGGGAGGACGAGGTGCTTTGGCATACAAAACCGTCTGGTTTTGGATGTGATCCGTGGATGAGCCTGCTCTCCAACCAAAAACAGTGATTGCAAAACATCAACTTTCGGGAAACAACCGGTGACGATGAAACGCCGCTGAGAGGGGACGAGGAAGATCTGCATAAATCCATTTGTTTGGTGGCTTGTTTCCCAAGAAGTCTTCGTTGCTTGCAGCATGGAATTGAGGGAGGCCAGGCATTTGGAAGCTCCCTTGCAGTACTTCGACTGTGTGTCTAGCTTCTTGTTTGGAGGAGCAGCAGCAAATCTACTCGTCCAAAGGTTTCCAAACAGGACGTGGGCCTGACAAGTTTACATCAGGGCATGTGTGTTTACATCGCGCGGCCCTCGCACGTCGAGTGACAGCAGCATGTGATTCGCTGTGCTTTTTGGCCCAAAGACACCACTCGCGCATAAGATCTTGGACCACGCCACGTGATCATGGGTCAGTGATCATGGAGGTCCTCCTGGAGGCCCTACCATCAAGACCAAGTGCAATCACCCAAAACAAGAAATGGGAGCACCCTCCTAGCAAAAGAATTGGACTGATCTAGTTTAAGCACCGTGTTTTTGTCCTTTCCTGCCGGATGGGGACCATGCCTTGTAGCAGGGCTCTGCGGAAGGCATCCTTTGCATCCTCGCTCAACGCCAACGGCATGTGGCGGGCCGTGCTTCGCTGCTTGCGGAACATCTCGAGCTGGCCTTGGAGAAGCACCGCCCAGTAGCTTCCGCCCGGGGAGGACAGCAACAGAAAGGCCTCTTGTGGAAGTCTGCCTACCCTCGGTCACCCGATCGCCCCGGTCGGTCGCTGGGCCCCCCGGGCTGGCGCGTCGCCGTTGCGACGGCAAGCGGGGCACCGGGGCCGAGGTGCTCAGCGACTCCCGGCTGCTGGCCTCCGAGGCGCACCGAAAGCGGCCAGCCTCCCCTGGCTCCCCCCCGCCTAAGTAGGGACTGCACGTGAGAAATTGGATGGGAGCTGATAGAGACTAATAGGACTGCACCCAAAATCGCCCACCACCAATTTCTAATGTAGTAGGAGAGGGGAGGGCCAGTCTTGAGGGTCCTGTTCGGACTTTGGCACCGCGAATGACTTGTGAGGTAGGAAACCCACAGTTCCAAAGAGAGTGAAACAGAAGCGTATGAGGCCTACCTTCTAGTGGACAAACGCACAACTACCAGAGTTGGTCGGGAAAGGGAGGACTTCCTCCACCAGGGTGTTGCACAAGTTTTGTTATATAAATTGTTATAAATCAACTCCTTGGGGGCAACTGCGGAGGTGCAATCTTGAACCCTCCTTAAAACTCCAAGCTACAACCCAGCACTTGCTGTGTTCAACCTCATGTTCCTCCAAAGAAGTCCCACATTCCCATTGCGACCAACTGGCAGGTCGCGGCTGCGGGCTGGTCTTGGTCGGCTTCCCTTGGCGGGCATTCAGTCGCTCGCGGGAGGAGAAACAAGAATTTCGGCAGTCACGAGCCCCCCCCTTTAACTTGCTTATGAAGTGTCAACTTCGTCGGCAGCTTTGGCACTTCATATTGAACACCAGGCGTTCACTTTGCCAACCCCTCCCCCCCGCCTTTCTCGATGGCCACCACAGTGTTGCGGCGCTTCTCCCGTGGAGGCGTGGCATGCTCAAAGTTGGTCGAGAGCTGCTTGTGAAAGCCATGGCTTGGTGGTGGTGAGCCTCGCCAAACTCCAGATGCCAACTAGACTGCAAGGTGCTGGAGTCAAATATCATGCTGCTCTTAAGGCATCCGAAACCGGCAGCATCCACCGGATTCCGCGCCGGTCGTCTACGGACGACACGCCATGGGTCCCACAGCCGACGCCCCCCCCGCCTGAGCCCGCCCGTTCGGCGCTGCCGGCCAGCAAACCCGTGCGCGGGGGCTCGGAGGCGGCACGCCTCCGGGGTCGCTATGGAAGGTCTCGGTGCGGCGTCTCGGCAGTTCTGGGGGGTCTCGGTCCGCATTTCTTTGGATGGAGGGCGGCTATGCTCTAGAATCAACTTGGGATTGTTGAGTGTTGAAGCAGGCCAACTCACCTGGCACGATTGACCTTCGAGGTCCACGGCGATTGACTTCGGAAGACCTCGACCCTGAAAAATGACCTGCAGGAAAAAAGATTCCTCTCATGACCTTAGCCCTGCTGAGCCACTCCAGTCCTGCTGACTTCGAGTTGTCCTCAGGATTAGCGTGACCTTTCGCCACCTCCAGCTGCGCACTGGACTAACTTCATGCACCTTAACCAGAATCCCACCACATCCAGAGCCTCAAAGTCCCTGTGGGCTGCGTGGAAGCTCGAGAATCCTCTGCGGATTCCGACGGCGCGTGGCTGGTGGTGCCCAAGCTTGTTCGACTCCTGGCACGTGCCACAAGACGACACAGCTGAGCGCCTGAGTTCAGCGTTAAAACGTCCACTGCTGTGCAAGGCTCGATCTGGACAGGTTGTTGCCCTTCAACTTGTTGAGCATTGAAGTTCTTGGGCTCTTCTTTCGCCCCTCGCTCAGCCTGGGCAAAAGGTGAGATGTCCTGCCGATGGGATGGTGGAATTGAACAATCATCACTCAAAGGCGTCTCCAAACTGCATGGGAACCATCATGGGAACCATGATTCGCCTCAAATAGTACCTATGAGGACCGTGACGGGGAAATGTTAAAGTTTCTCTGCCAAATCCTCAATCCTGAACAGGGGCCGCAGGACGCAAGTAAAAACGTGCCCACTTAGACTTAGCACCTGGATTCTTCGGTTTTTATATGGCTCCGAAGGCATGTTGGGCCCAAAGTAGCTTGCATGCAGCCTAGGCCTAGACTTCAAACAAGTCTTCGATGATGAGCATTGCTCAGCCCAACTACCTCCACCCCACCCCACCACCCCACCCACTTGATGTTGCACCCTCCTCCACCTAAAGATTTTAGCAAGAGACCCCCCAAAAACATGGCGGGGCACTTCCCCACCCCAGCACTCACCAAAACGTGCTCCGCGTGGCGTCATCTGCACATGGGGCTCCGGCTTCCGCCGGCCTCCCACGCTGACGGTCACCGCCGAGTCGGCGATGCTCACCTCAGAATCGGTGCCAAGGAGCCATCTTGCGGTTGTGGGAGATGGAAGCTTCAATCCGGATGCAGCAATGCATGTGCCAATCATATAGGATCATTACAGTATAGTTCTTCTTTTCGTCCTTCTCAGATCCTTTGCAGTGCCGATCGTCCACTTCGGTTGAAAAGGCTAAGGCTAAGGAACATTCAGAAGACTCTTGAGGTCTTGACTAGGTAGCGGCAAAGGCGCAAGCTTCAATTGCCCACTGCACATGGCAGCTCGCGCCAGCCGAAGGGTCGTGCAGAAACTGCATAAAAGTGCACGGCCTAAAGACTTGAAAGAACCTTGCTTCTCATGCGATGCCCATTTTGAAGGCAGCCTTGGTCTTCCTCATGACAGAGTTGCTGTACGAGACATTCATCTCAGCGCCATGGGCTTGACGTTGCTTCGAGTGCATCTGGTGGCACATCGCCATCTTCTTCGAGCCGAGCGAGACGTAGGTCTCGCGGGTCGACAAGTCGGCCCTGCAGTCGTGCAAATCGCCCAGGAGACCCACAGAGGTGGCATCGCCGTTGATGACCAGCGGTGATTTGCCCAACGCCGCGATCGCCTCATCCAAGATCCGCTTGGCCTCCTCCGGTCTGCCGCAGTGCGACCGCGCTCCAGCGCATCGTGGGTCAGGTGTCGGTTCCAGTGGCGCTCCACCTGAGGATGTCCCGGAGTCTCCGGCACCTGGGCACGACGCTCCAGCATCAAGGGCTTCAGCTCCTGCTCGCTACGCGTCTGCACCACCGAAAAGCCAGAGGCCGTCAGCCGGCCCAAGGCCTGCAAGGCCTCGTTCTGCGCCGCTGGCAGGCGCAGAGAGATCAAGACGTCGCGCCTCTCTTCAGCGAAGAGGTCGCCCAACTCGACTTTCACCCCATCCTGCGTTGGCTCCACTGGGAAGGTGGTGAAGGCGCGATCAAATTGGACGCCCGGTGCCAACTCCAGCTTTAACGAAACGTTCTGGTGCGTGGTGGACAGCAGGCCTCCCAGCGCTTCCCCAAAGCATTCAGCGATTTGGTCCTCGGACTGCACATGGCTGTAGCTGCCCTCGCCCGCGTCGGCGATGCGCTGCAGCATCTCCGCACGATGGTCCTGGCCGAAGCCGAAGGTGGAAATGGTGCTCTTGCAGCTGCTCAGTTCATCCAGCATGGCCAACGTGGCCGAGCAAATGGCGCCGCTCTCGGTGATCCCGCAGTTCGCATGGCCGTCGGTGAAGAGGAACGTGGAGCGCACCACCGCATCCGGGTCGAGGCCAGCCGCCAAACGGGCTGCCCGGTCCTCTGGCATCTCCTCAGCCCTCTCAGCGGAATTCGTGCAAAGGTTCCAGAAGCTCCCCAGCCCCACCGACGACGCCACCGACGCCGCTGCGGAGGAGGCCGCCGCGCCCCAGGAGGCGCTACCGGTGAGGGGCAGCAGCACCGGGCGGAAGGTCTCCGCTTGGTCGAAGGATAACATGTGGTCGACCTTCAGCTCGCGTCCATCCTTCATGTGCAGGGTGATCATCACCTCGAAAGTGCCCCAGCCCAGGCGAGTCAGCTGGAAGGGCGGCTGCTGGACCTCAACGATGGGGTCACGGAAGGTCTCGTGGAGCTCGAAAACCACCTTCTGCACCAAGGCCTCGTCTTCCGGCTTGTTGAAGCGCACCGCCACCGTCCACTCATGCACGCGGGGGCACCCGATCGGCGGCTCTTCAATGCGGCCATAGTGTTCCCCATTGGCGGCGCGTGCAGCGGCCTCGTCGTCGGGGAGGAGGCGGTAGAGGTTGCCCACCTGGACTGTTTGCTTTGGGGAGCCAGCAAGCCGGGCCACCTCCTTGTGAAGCTCCAGACCTTTCAGAAGGCCTCCCGACAAGTTCGTCTGACCACTGATCTGGATCTTCTCCACCGCCGCCTTGAGCCGCTCGCGGCCGGCGGCGTCGCAGCGCGTGAGCGGGCAGGTGACTTTCACGTCGCTGCCGTACTCCACGATGCCCAGCGAGTCCTTCTCGCACAAGTAGCGGAGCATGAAGATCATGGTCTGCTTCACCAGGCGGATCTTCTCACCTTGCATGCTGCCGCTCTTATCCAGCACTGCCACCAGGTTCAAGGGCGCCCGCTGGTCGCCCTGCTCCTGTGGCGCCACCACCGACAGCACCGCCCGAAACTCTTGCGCCTCAAAGGCCACAACTGAGCGTTCCAAGGCCACCTCGGCCCGCAAGCGGTCGGCAGCGTTGACGGCCTCGCCCTCCACCACGCTCCACCCATCCAACACCGAGGAGGGTGCATTGCTGAGCACTTCATATGAGGCCATGCTGGTCGAAGCCGCGAGGAGTCGTTCACACGGAGCGCGTTTTTGTCCGGCCGCGGGGCGTTTGGAAAGCAAGGTCTTGAGCCATTACAGTATAGTATATATAATCTATATAATATATATATATATATATGTGCACATGTGTGTGTGTTATATACTGATGACCAGGTAGCAATGAAATGCCGCCCACAAATCGTGTGGTTTCCTTTGCTGCATCTTGCTGGCTCCGGCAGCCCCACAGAGCCACATGGATCTTGTCAGAGGGCCTTTATGGGCCCAGCGGGTCCTTTTTGGGCCGTGACCACGCGGGTCTCACCTATAGCAGGTGTCTTTTCTGCTTGATGATGCAGTCCAATGAGTGCAAAAGAAAGGCAAACTTGTTTTTCTTGCAGGCGACGGATGCCCACCTTGCAATGGACTGGACCACTTCCAAACGGGCACAAAAGAATCAGTCTTCCAACAGAATCTCACTTGCTGCTTCCGCACCTGTTTGACCTACCTGCCCCAGCTGCCCCCACTCCCTCTTAGCTCAGGTCGCGCTGGTCACCGTGGACTCGCTCGCGCTCTCGCTGTCGCTGGGCAGCAGTGCCGCCTCCAGGCGAAGGCCCAGCTCGGCACCTGGGCGGCGGAAGGACGGTGGTTCAGTCCCTTCCAGGTCCCTTCTTCAACCCACACCCCCAAAAAATGAGCGAAACAGCAGTTGGAGCCATCTCTCTAACTTCTTGCGTGTCTGTGGGCACGCAGACCAAAAGCATGGTGGCCAATTGAAAGACCCTCGCACGAGGGTTCCATCACTCTTTGACAGCAGTCCCATCATCCCATCGATGAAGATGAAAATCATCTACCACTCTGGACCTACTCTAAAATCTCACTCGGCTCAACTCAACCCCAGAGATCCCAGAGCGCCACAGTGCATCCCCCCTACAAGCCTTCCCCTTCTAAAAAAGACTCCAGGACTCAACACTCTGCTCTGCCCCCAGAGCACATCTTCTCCTCGTCCCCGCGATGACCCAAGGCACTGAGACTGGCCGCGGACGGGGCTGAGGGGGAGGAGGCCACCGGCGACATCGAGAGATCGGGCACATCGCCTCGCGGGGTCCAAAGAACACCGAGTGTGTCACTGCGTTGTTCAATCACATAGATCTCGCGCTTGTCACACGTGGTTTGTCCAAGAAGGGTCATTGAAGCAACAGAAGTTGCGGATCTACTGGGATCTGTGCTGAGGGTGCTGGGGCATCAAATCCACTCGTTTGGGGAGATGTTTGGATGTTGGAGTGGAGTTGTGTGTGGGTGTGTTTCTATCTCGGGAAGCTGAGACTCCACCAGCTTTGGTGACGTGAAGACCTTCCCCTGCTTGCATCCTTTGAAGTTTAACAGGCATGAGCACACAACCCTGAGCTGGCTGAGATCTTGAGTCAAGGACATTGATGCCCCAAAAGACTGTTCTCCAAAATGGCCCCCCTGTCCTACCCGTGACCTACCTGACCTACACCCGCTTCCCCCTCCTCTCCCTGACTCCAACCTTCCAGCACTGGCGGGAGCTGCGCCCGTGCCCGCCGGTCACCTGCCGGGCGGGGTCCGAACATCATGTCCGTGCTTAAAAGCTTTAGTACATCAGCCGTCTGGCCATCAATGGCGAATTAGGCTGACCACTCCCCCGACTTAGGGACTGTTTTGGATTCACAGCATGTTCAAAACAAGTTGTTCCCCTCCAGCCCTGCTCCATGCCTGCTCCATGCAAACCTGCATTGGTTTCTGGTACGGGTGACAAGGGCGTGCCACCGTTGATCAGCATGGCCGGCCATGCGCGCCAACGGCGCCAAGTTTGGTGTCTCGCCGGCGACCTATTCTTCAAAAATGCACGTGTTTGTGTTGTTGCAAGCTTCTGCGCAGCTCATGGTGAACGAGCCAGCTTGTTTTTGAGGAGCCTGTGCCTAATCATAATCTTGAGTTGCCCTGGAGAATCAAACTTCCATCATCTTTGGTCGGAGGTGGATTCCTCCGCAGTTTGAGCCTAAGCTTGCAAATGAAACACAGTTGCATCACCCTGAATTGTGAGTTGGAACTCCTTCATCAACAAGTTCGCGGGAAAGGAAACCAGCCCACCTTGGACACAGAACCTAATTGGCCGTGACCCCTCCCAACCCACCCACCCTGAGCACTTAAATATTGCCCATGTTAACAGAGTCACAACTGCAAAAATCAAACAACATCACCTTGCATATCCCCAAACCGTCTCCAACGCCCACTGCACGCAGCTCCTTTTTGCCCAACCACCTGCCGCATCGCACTTTGCCAATGCGGAAGAGGCAGCTGGGGCACCTGGTTCCCTCATGCCTTGGCCAGGGCAGGGAAGGCACCGGGCCAAAGCTCCTGGCATCGGATGGGAAAACGATGCCAAGACCGTCACATGGGTCCCTCGGGTCAGGTGTCCATCTCTACATCTCCTTTGTTGCATTGAAAAAGCCCCAGCCAAACCTCCCACTTCGTGTCAAGAGCCATCCTCGCGTCCATGCTGGGGCCAGAGAAGGAGTTTGGACCACTCAAAGGCGCCCAGCCACAGAGCTCCTCCCAAGCCTCAAAGAGGTAAGTGTGTGTCGGCATGCCGAGCTAAGATGAGCTAAGATTGACTTTTTGTGGAACTTCAAGGCAATCTCCAGCTTGAAACGAGCTCCAAGAAGAGATCCAAAACAAGCTACTCTACCTACTGCACTCATCTTCTGCCAGGAGCGAAATGAAGATAATATTATATAGGTGGCCGCGACCTCACCGAAGCTTAGTTGGTCAATGCGGTGAGGCAAACAAAACCCTGGTCCCTAAGCACTAGGGGAAAAAACCAGGTCCCTAAACCACCGTCTGATTTCGGGGGTGCAGCTCCGCCTCAAACGGAGCCACGCCTGAGTGGAGTGCGCGTGGAAGGGCCCCTCTAAAGAGGCCCATCATGCCATGCTCCTGGCGAAGGCATTCAACTCCAAACACTGTCGAGCACGTCTAACGGTGTTTTGTGGAACTACGCTCTTTCCAACAATCCAGCAGTGGAACACCATGGACCAATCTGCATCTGTCCTTGCTCATGACACGCAACGTCCGCCAAAGGCCCAGTCGGAGTGCCGGATCTTCCTTCAGAGTGTCAAAACCACGAAGGTGCACTGTGAATCAACCAAACCCCCCCTATCAGGATGGCTGTCCCTTCTGTCAGTCAGTCCACGCCACGTACTCCAGTTCTTCACACCACCTCCGGACCGATGCCACCACCTCCAGACCGATGCCAAGCCGCTGTGAGCATGATGCGAGTCTTTGCTGCATCCAAGGGTGTGGTCGCAATGCCTGCGCAGCTGCCCGCCACAAAGCCTGAGCTCCAAGCTGGTGCGTAGAGCCGTGAGCCGATACGAGTAGCGCATCGAAAGAACCTCGAAACGCCTGGCCGCTGGACCCAGGCTGTTCAAACCAAGCTTCCACAGTGCATGCCAATAAGGCCTGCAACAAACATGCTAGGATGGCATGATGCGGCTTACGCTTCACAAGCCCTCATTCGCCCAAAATGCGCATTGCTTGGCCTTGCTCCTGTTTGTTGCCTTCCCTTTGCGCTCTGGCTGCCCAGGGGTGGTTGTGCTTCAGCTCCTCGTCAAGCGACATTCGAGGTGCGCGCCACGTTTGCACCCCATCACCCCCTGAAGAGAAATGGAGTGGGCTAAAAATTGGGCCAACTTCGAACACCATGGACCTTGGCGCCAAAAGAAGCAAACTACGAGTCCGTCACCCGAACGCTCGCCCCTCCTCGAAGAGAGGCATCTGGATGAGTGCAAACGGCACCTCTCCTGCATCGCCAGCGCATGACCCGGCCCAGCGGGTTGGTGTGGACCCTCGAGAGCTGCTGGGGTGCAAAGGAACATCTCCTTCCCCACGGGAGAGGGCCTACAGAAGCGGTGCAAATGTCATTAGAAAGCGAAGGTGGCACTTTCGCCTTCGCGAACATGTACCGAGGCATGTGTCTCAGGAGGAAAGAAAGTGATCATCGTTGACTTTGAAGCGCTTGATGGTAATCTGTGGTGTTCATATCTTATATAACAATTAGAGACGGAGAGAAAGATAGAGAGAGAGAGAAGAAAGAAGAGGGTCATTCATTTTTGGTGCCTCCCATGCAGTTCAAATCCAAACAAGACATAATCTTCCACGAGACCTTGGTCATGCCGGAACGCAGGTAAACAAAGTCACTGAGCAAATCTGCCAAAAACACAAACACCATATCACGCCGACAAAGATTTCCAAGAACAGTGGTGATACCCTTGCAAACCCCAAGTCAAACACGGTCAGCAGGACCCCGGCGCACGCACCCCAACCCACGCGGTTTGCACGCTCCATGCCACCGAGGAACGCATCGCGGTGGCGGCAAAGCCAGCGAAAAAGCCGCGGACCCCCTCTTCCCAGACCTGGGGCGCTGGAGGTCAAGGCTGGTAGATCAAACGCCGAAGGGGCCCATGAAGCCTATGGTGGCTCGGAACGAATGAGAGCCTTCCACTGAAGCTGGCATTCATGAGTAAAGGTGCATGTAAGTGCTGACATTACACCTGAGACCATGGCCTTCGACACGGTTTGTGTGAAGCTCAGCGCAACTCCACAAGGCCCGAGCGCTTGCATGCGCTGTTTGAGCACTTCCTTGGTCCAGCGATGGCTCTGACGACCTGGGTCCTGTCTTCCGAACTTCCTTGAGGGGGGGGGGCGTCCAATGGCTCCAGCTTGCCTCCAGCTCCTGCCGCCCCCTCCCGGTGAGCCCAGCTTCGCACGGCACCCGCACCACACAGGCGCCCACGTCCGCCACCGAGGCGGCCACAGCATCCCGAGACATGGCGATGGACTTGTCATGTTGAGCCACCTGGGCAGATGAAAAAGGTTTTTTGGGACTCCCAGGAATCCCCATGGAAATGGGAAAATGATCCCTTCAATGACCATGTTCCGAATACCATTTACATACATACATATATTGTGAATTTCCAACCTTTCTCAACCATGATCGAAGGCCGTTCGTTCT